AGGCCGAGAGAATCCACCAAGGATGTATGACCTATCCAAGGTTGTATGTTAGAACCTTTGCTCAATGATGTCGACCTATATGAAATAAGACGAGAGAATTCATAAAGGATATATGACCTATCTAAGGTTGTATGTCAAATCTTTTCTCGATGATGTTAACCTATATAGAAGAGGTTTAGAGAATCCATCAATGATATATAACCTATCCGAGGTTGTATGTTAGAGCCTTTTCTTGATAATATTAACCTGTATGGAAGAGATCAAGAAAACCCACTAAGGATGTATGACCTATTTGAGGTTGTATGTTAGAGTCTTTACTCGATGATGTTAACCTTTGTGGAAGAGATCGAGTGAATCCATTAAGGATGTATGACCTATATGAGGTTGTATAACAAAGCCTTTACTCAATGATGTTAACATGTGTGGAAGAGGTCAAGAGAATCAACTAATGATATATGACCTATCCGAGGTTGCATCTTAGAGCCTTTGCTTGATGATATTAACCTCTATAGAAGAGGTCGAGATAATCCATAAATGATGTGTGACCTATCTGAGGTTATATATCAGATTGTTTGCTCCATAATATTAACTTGTGTGGAAGAGGTCAAGAGAATCCACTAAGGATGTATGACCTATCTGAGGTTATATGTAAAATCCTTTATTTGATGACATTAACATGTGTGGAAGAGATCGAGAAAATCTACTAAAGATATATAAATTATTCGAGATTGTATGAAAGCCTTTGCTCGATGACATTAACTTGTGAGGAAGTGGTCGGATCCAATCCCCATAGGATCGATCATCCAGTTATTGAGACACAATAAAGATTGCATATTTCTTGAATCAAGGATTTAAGATTTGTTTGACATCCTCCAAGGATGTTTAACCTATATGAGATTGTATTGTTGCGAATTTGATATTTTGGATTAGATTTATGATGATATCAAACATTCATGTATTTCTATGACTGCCTTGCCTACTAACGTTTCAGGTCCACGTGATCTAATGCAATTCAAGCCAGCTCAAGAATGAGTAGATTTAGATTGAATCAAGTTTGTAATTTTTCTTTTTTTGAGTCAATTATAAAAGTGGTCCTGATACTAAGTAACCTTGCACACACACACTTAAGGGTTTTTCTATTGTTTTCTATTTTGAAAACATTGGCCTGGACGATGACCATATCGTCCAGGACGATCAGACTAAAAATAGAAATCCTAATAAAGGCATCTCATTAAGGAAGCCGTCATTAAGCAGATTGTCCTAGATAATCCCTATATCGGCCAAGATGATAGGCTCAGTTAAGAAAGAATCAGTCGTCATGATCAATTTAGGTATTCTTTATTTTAGGGAATCATCCAGGACGATCACAACATCGGCCTGGACGATGCAGCATAATTATGCATAAATTAATCTTGTAGTTATGGAAAGCAATTAAGGCTAAATTGATACGATCACATCGGCCGGGCTGATCACAGGATCGGTCAGGACGATGAACTAGACGATTGACATCGACCATAATCTATTCAGGGTGATGTTCAGGATGATTTTTCTCAGATTTGAACTAATCATCCAAGACGATATTATATCGGCTTGGACGATGTAACCAATTTTCTTCTGATTAACCCAAATCATCCTGACTGATTGAGCTTAATTTGTACTGATTGGCCAGGATGATAGAAATATCGTCCTGGAGGATAATGTCAGTTCTTAAAATTCTATTTAAAGAACCCAATTTTTCTCATGCAAAAGACCTTGAATGATGCTGTCATGACCTGAGAGAGCCTTACGAGAGGGAGAAAGAGAAAGGGAGAGAGAGAGAGAAAGGAACTTATGAGGGGGAGTTTGTGAGAGGGTTCACAAAGGTTGCTCCAAGCAAGGTTCCAAGTCGTCATCTCCGTTCTTCGTCCTTCATCCTTGGGAGGTTCTTTGGAGGTCTACTTCAGCAAAAGGTCTGGGTTCTCTGCCCGCTTTAGGAGGAAGCAAAAGGAGTCGGTTCTCTACCGCATCAGGGTTGGTGAAAAGGAGTCTGTTGTAAAGGCTTCTCCGCCTAATTGTGGGAGCTAAAAGTGAGACACTTAGTTAGTGCAATACTCGGAGGGTGCCTCAGAGGAGTGGACGTAGGTCGAGGAGTGGACGTAGGTCAAGGATTGACTGAACCACTATAAATCTAGTGTGATCTTCCTTTGTTTTGCTTCCGCATTTATTTATTTTTTGCACTTCAAATTCTGTGGTGATTTTGGTTTATGATTGTTGTGCTTTACCGAAGAAAAATTTTTAAAATACCAATTCACCCCCCCCTCTTGGTTAGCCTCAGGCTAGTTCTTAAGTCCAGGCCTCAGATGGTGGTCTGCTAGAAGTCTGAACGTCAAGTGGTGGTCCACACAACTTCGGGCACCAAGTGGTGATCTGGTGGAGATCAGGGCCTGAAGTGGTGGTCTAGCGGAGGGGTATCAAGTGGTTGAAAGTTCATTAGGGATGTTAGACCCTTAAGAACTGACCCAAGGCTAAATAAAAGAGAGGTGAATTAGTAAAAACTATTTTTCGATCAAAACACAAAACTCAAAACCAATATCACCACAAAGAAATCAACGATGCGGAAATTAATGCATAAGTAATAAAGAAAGAACACACCGGATTTATAGTGGTTCAGTCAAACCTTGACCTACGTCCACTCCTCGGAGGCACCATTCGAGTATTGCACTAAACTAAGTGTCTCTCTTTTAGTCCCCACAGCTAGGCAGAGAAGCCCTTACAAAACCCTTTCCACCTTCCCTGGTACGGTGGAGTCGCCAGGTCCTTTGACACCAAAGAGATCTTCTTCTTTGGTGAACTTCCCTCGAGACAAGCCTTGAATCCGACGGTATTCAGGTGTGAGCTTGCCGGAGCCACACTCCCTTGAGTCCCCCCCTCACAGGATCTTCTCACTCTCTCAAACTCCACCCTTTCCTCACTCCCTTTCAAGCTCTCTCTTCAAGTTTCCCCCAAAAGAATGAAGCTACAATGGCTGCCAAAGACACTTACCAAGTGTCATGTCATAGCTTAAATAGAAGATCCCAAAACGAGCTTATTAATGCAAGTTGCCGACTTTATCGTCCAGGATGATACTAATATCTTCCTATACGATCAGCACAAAATAAGCCCAATCAGCCGGGACGATTTGAGATGATCAGAAGAAATTTGTTCATATCGTCTAGGACGATAATATAACGTCCTAACCGATCAATAAAAATCGTGGAATATTGTCCTGAACATCGCCGTGAAAAAGAGCTGTCCGATGTCCAATCGTCCAGCGTATCGTCCCGGACGATCCTGAGATCGTCCAGGGAGATTTGATTGTCCAATCAAATTATAATTGCTTTCCTTAAATGCCAGATTAGTTTTGGAAAAGATTATCCTCGATCGTCCTGGACGATATTTTATAGTCCTGGACGATGTCCAAAAATAAGTAATTCCTAAATAGATCTGGCGGCAGATTCTTTCTGTTTTGAGCCTATCGTCCTGGCCGATACAAAATCGTCCAGGACGATGTTTTTTGCATAATGACGACTGCTTTAATGAGGATGCTCTAATCAGGATTTCTGCTTTTGAATCGATCATCCAGGACGATATAAAATCATCCCGGACGATGTTACCAAAGACAGTAAACTCTAGAGAACAGTCAAAAATCTTCCAAATTATAAAACATCAGGAGCCACACCAATTATAATAGAATGAAGAAAGGAAAAAAATGTACAAACTAACTCAGCTTAGTCTACCCAATCTTGAGCTGATTCCAAATTGCAGTCTGATCGTGTGGATCTGAAATGTCAGAAGATAAGGCAGTCGTAGAGAAATAAAAGTGTTTGCTATCATCAAAATCATCATCCATGAAAATAGATCTGCAATAGTGGTGGTTCGACGGAGCAATGACTTCAGATGGTGGTCCGACGGAACTCAAGCGGTGGTCGAGGACGAGCAAGGAGGCAAGATCAATCTCCGATCTCTCTCGTGAATCCCTTAGGCTTAGGTCCCTTTTTTCATGAGGGATGAGGGGTCTATTTATAGATTTCCTAGAGTGGCATGACCCGTAAATAGGTGAAAGATCAAGGGGAAATAGAGATTGGTTGGATGGACGGTCGATGTTGAATCCCTTGATCATAAGAACATTTGATGGATATTTGAATGTCTTAGTGATGTCGGAATTCGGTAATCTTGGGCTCATTGAATTCGTCTCGTCGAGTCGCTCGATTCGACTGTAAGCATGTTACGTTTGGAAGTCGTTTGGTAATCCAAATTGTTGTTTGAACCTTCCAACAACGCTTCAGATCCTCAATTCAGACCCATTTGGGCTCGGATTGAGTCGAATTTGGTGTCGTTGGGTTCGTATTTTCAAGATGTTCAGGTGGACTCTAAGTTTGATGAAATCAGAGATTGGATGGTCCCAAATCTAATTTCGAAAATTTCCAACTTGATTTTTCCTCAAGATTCATGCCCGATCACGATATTTTTTTTTTTTTTGAAGACTTCTCAATACTTCTCTAGAAAAATTGAGTGGTGTGCCTCACCTAAGATTAGAGTCATCAATCAAATAATACTTATAATTTTCTTAAAATTAATAATATTTATAATTGATATACTAGATATGTTATATAATTCATATTAAAAATCCTCTGTATTTGAATTATTACGGTTCTGAATTGCATTTAAAAATCTTGGTGGATCAAGACCGCCAACAGTTTTTAGTTGATTAAAAAGTCTTGTCGGCCAGAATATTTAATGATTTTTACAAATCAAAGTTATTTATCCACTAAAATTTTAAGTTTAATTTTAGTTATTAACATTTTTGTTGTTCGAATACCGACCATTAAAAAACGTTTCCTGGCTACATGAGCCGCTACACATTATTCGAACTTTTGAATGCTAGCGCCTCCGAGCAGGCGAGCATCACGGGATACATTTTCCAACTGTCAAAGGCAGCGACCTTTTTATCTCTTCCTTGCTTACGACACCCTTTTCCCGTCTTCTAATGCCCCTTCGCCAAGAAACGTATCCGTTATAAAGATGCCGATTCCTTAATCGCTTTCAATTTCGTTTAATTCTCTCGTGAACTATGACCGACCGATCCGATCTTACTCCTCTTCCTTCGTCGCCGCCGCCGGCGACTATCGAACTTCATGACCTAACGGCTATTTCCGTCATCGGCCGTGGAGCAAAGGGTGTCGTCTTCTACATCCATGAGCACTCCTCCGGCGAATCCCTCGCTCTTAAGGTAATTTCAAGGCCATACATAGAATGCAAGAGAGCCGGCGGCGCCGCCGCCGTTGGCGACGACTGCCAAAGTGCGTACAGGCGGATCTACTTTGAACGTGACGTGCTACTTGCTCTCAATCACCCATTGTTCCCCTCCCTCCGCGGGGTTGTTTCTACAGAGAAGATTGTCGGATTTGCCATCGATCACTGCCCTGGAGGCGATCTGACCGCGCTTCGGCGGCGCCAGACGGAGAAAATGTTCTCCGATGGGATCATCCGGTGAGTTAATTAGTGCGGTCAGTTCCTATCGGCTGAAACTTTCCGGCATCGTTTAAGTCTTTTTCCTAATATCTTCATGAATTTTTTATTTAAAGGTTCTACGCGGCGGAAATGGTGCTGGCATTGGAGTATCTCCACGGATTAGGGATCGTCTACCGAGACCTGAAGCCCGAGAATGTTCTGATTCAGGAGAACGGGCACATAATGCTCGTCGATTTCGACCTCTCCACCAAGCTTCCGCCCTTCAAATCGCTGCCAGAAATACCCCGATCAGAACCCCAGTCCGCTCAGAAGAAAAAGATGAACCGATCTCTTTGCAGATGCTTCTCCGGCAGTTCCGATGTATCGCCGGCGACTCTCTGTTCTGATTACTCGCAGGAGACAGCAAAGTCGAATTCGTTCGTTGGTACGGAAGATTACGTCGCGCCAGAGATCATCCAGGGCAACGGCCATGATTTTACGGTCGACTGGTGGTGCCTCGGCGTGGTATTATACGAGATGCTTTACGGCCGGACGCCTTTTCGGGGGATTAATCGGAAAGAGACGTTCTACCGGATACTTACCAAGTCACCGGAGCTCTTCGGCGAGAAGACGGCTCTAAGAGATCTGATTGGACGGCTTCTAGAAAAGGATCCGGCGAAGAGAATCGCCGGCGGGGAGATACGTAGCCATGAGTTCTTCCGAGGAGTGGATTGGGAGTCTGTTGTGGTAATTGCACGGCCACCGTTTATTCCGGAGGTGGCAGAACCGAAGGTCTGGGCCGAGGTATTGGACATCGAGAAAATCGTCGAGGAGATTTCTGGGAGTAGACGCGTGGAAACGGGGAAGCGTTGGGAGGGAAATCTGGTGACAGAAGGGAGGAATTCTTCTAGAAACGGCGACTTTGAAATCTTTTAGTTGATTTCTTTATGGGTTGGAAAATTGGCACGTACGCACTGACCATTTCTGGTCATGGTTAGCACTCCGATTTTCAGCTTACATCACAGATCTAAGGTATTGTAAAACAAATGTATATGAATAGAATAAATTAGTTAAAAAAAAGAGAATTTCATGCCTTTTATAACAGTTTTATAAATTTTTATTAAGATTTTTATATTTATATAAAATTAAAAATTTTAAAACATTAGAAATAATTATTAATATTAAATTTTAAAATAAAATTTATTTTTTAATGTATACATTTTGATATAATTGACACTCTAAAATTTTATTGAATAAATATAAAAATATAGATATCAATACCCCCTCTCCTGCAAAATTTTATTAGCTTATGTTTATATCATGCAAAATCAAAATCAAAATATAAAAATACGCTAGAACAAATTCAGATTTTGCACGACATAAATAAGGCTAAAATAAATTTATGTGGACAAAATACAAATGATTATTTATAAGATGGCGGTCAATTAGTTTTATTGTAATTATTATGTATATAGTACCAATTCATTTTTAATGATTATTGAATTTAGAAATTATTGAGAATTAATATTTTTTAGTCTCTTGTATTTTAAATTAATTTAAAATACAAATTTTTTGGGGTTATTTTTATATGAAGTAAAATATTTGCAATGTATAGATTTTGAAAAGATTGTATGTGATTTGGAATGAAGAATTGATAGTAAAATTTTAAAATATTTAAAATTCATCACCTAGTTCAATTTTGATGCTTTTGAAAAATGTTCAATTTAACATATTTAAAAAAATTAATTTCTTTGTACTATTGATGTCGTAGCTTGCTGTCATCACATGTTGTCGCCGCTAAAGATGTCGTTGTCCACAGACCATCATTATCATGAAATTTTACACTGCATTGATTTTACTTTAAAATTAATATATCATCAAAAAATAATCTTGATCGGGTACGAATCTAAAGGCAAAAATTAAGTTGGAAATTTCAAAAATTAAATTGGAAATCATCTGAACTCTGATTTCAGCAAACTTATAGTCGAACTGAACGTCTCATAAATATGAACCCAACGACTCCAAATTCGACCCAATTCGAGCTCAAATGGGTCCAAATCAAAGACCGAAATGCATTTGAAAGGTTCAATCCATAATTTGGATTACCAAATAGTATCAAAATGGGGCGTGCTTCTAGTCGAATTGAGCGGCTCAACGAGACGAATCCAACGAGCCTAAGATCATCAAATTCCAATATCATTAAGACATTCAAATGCTCAAGAAATGGTCTATGATGAAAGGATTCAACATTAGCTATCCTTTCAAACTACTCACAATTTACTCTTGATCTTCCTTTTATTTACTGATCATGCCACCCTCATAAAAATATGAATAGACCCTTCATTTCTTATGAGAGGGGACCAAGCATGAAGAGAAGAGAATAGAAAAACAGAAGAGAAGAGAAGAGAAGAAGCGGAGAAGAAAGTGACTCCTCCTCGTCCGCCGTCGGACATCCCCCAGCAAGCGACCGACGCTAGAGTTCTGCTCGATCACCAACTGTCGCCGGAATTAAAGAGAAGAGAAGAAAGGAAAGGAACATAAGAAATAGACTCCTCGACCACCTCCAGAGTTCCACCCGACAACCGACCGACGCTGAAGTTATGCTCGATCGCCAACTAACGCCAAAATTAAGTAAGGAAGAAAGAAAACAAAAGAAGAAAGAAAGAAAGAATAGACGGAAAAAATGAAGACAAGGAGTAGACTCCTCCTCAACCACGTCCGGACTTCCACCCGGCTGCCGACCAACACTGGAGTTCTGCCCGATCGCCAACTGGCGACAAAATTTAGCCTGACAATTAACTGATGCTAGAGTTCTTCCTAATAGCCAACTAAAGCAAGATTTCTACCCGACCACCAACGTTAGTAGATTTCCAATCTTTGTTTGTAACAAAATTTCAACTTGAGAGTTGATTATTATAATCTGATCGTCCTCAATTTCAAGGACGAGTCAGCCACTTGCAATCTAAACAAACACTAGTTGAATCACTTTTTCATGGTTTCAACGTTAAAATTTTAGTGTTACATTATTTTTTGTCTGTATTGGATATCCGTACAAGGCTAAGAAAAAAAATTTTTAAACTCTATCACCGCATATATTCTAGACTGCAATAAAAATCAATGAAAAATAATTGCCTATATTTATTTTGCACTTATATATATATATATAGATATATATTATTATTATAGTGAGTTTGTCCATCCTAAAAACTAATGATAGTTTGGCCCTTGACTTATTTATTATTATTATTATTATTACTTTACAAACTTCTAGATATAACATATATGATTGGCATGCAATGCTATTTCTCTAACGAAATAATATTTGCAAACAGGATTTGTGATCCACTTGTTCGAGAGAAAATATTATTTCTAGAAGATTTTAAGTTCAAATTATATAAATTTGTGATTTATTATTCATGATACATCATCAAAAAATTATCTTGATCAGGCACGAATCTCAAGGCAAAATAAAGTTGAAAAACTTCCAAAAATAAAATTGGGATCATCTAAACTTCGATTTTAGCAAACTTATAGTCTAACTGAACGTCTCAAAAATACAAACCCAATGACACCAAATTCGACTCAATCCGAGCTCAAATGGGTCCAAATCAAGGGTCTGAATCGCTGTTGGAGGGTTCAAATCACAATTTGGATTACCAAACGGTTTCCAAACATGACGTGCTTATAGTCGAATCGAGCGGCTCGACAAGAAGAATCTAACGAACCCAAGATTTTTAAATTCTAGCATCATTAAGACATTCAAATGTCCATCAAATGGTCCATGATTAAAAGATTCAACATTAGCCGTCCATCCAAACCACTCCCAATTTGCCCTTGATCCTTCTTCTATTTATGGGTCATACCACTCTAGGAAATCTATAAATAGACCCCTCATTTCTCTTGAAAAGGGGGGCTCCATGCAAGAGAGTAAGAGAGAGAACGGAGATCGCTCTTACTTTCTCGCTCCTCCTCGACCACCATCTATCGTCGTCGTTCTGTCAGACCACCACTTGAGGCCCTAATGCATGTCCACCGAGCCATCACTTGAGGCCCTCACCTCTGCCAGACCACCACTTGAGACCTCACCTCCGCCAAGCCACCACTTGAGGCCCTCACGTCGGCCGGGCCACCACTTGAGGCCCTCACCTTCACCGGGCCACCACTTGATGCTCTTACCTCTGCTGGATGATCACCTGAGGTCCAAACTTCTGCTAAACCACCACCCGTGGCCCGAACATCTGCCAGACCACCACTTGATGCCTAGAGTTCTACCAGAGTACTGCCCTAGAACTACATTTTTTCGGACCCCTGTCTCTTGCCGACTATGGTCCTTCCGACCCCCATCGCCTACTACAATCCTTCTGACCTCCATCTCCAAACAATAATCTTTTTGACTGTAGTCTCCTTCCTACAACAATCTTTTCGACCTCTATCCTATCGACTATGATCCTATCGACCAAACAAACTTGTTTATGTTGATTATTATAACTCCCACCATGTAAGCTTTATATTATGTACATTTGTGACATCAAGTCAAGGCCTTCTCCCAAGGAAGGGCCTAATTTGTAATCGATTGTAAATACTAGTGGATTCATTCAAACTGGGTTAGGCCCTGTGGTATTTCCCCCTTTTTCAAAGGTTTCCACTTAAAAACTCTTGTGTCTATTATGAACGCTGCACCCTCTCTCTTATATGTGTGCGTGTTGGATCTTTGTACAACACTAAGACGTTAAACTATATATTTCTCTACCACCGCGAATACTCCATGACGCAACAATTCACAAATTAAAAAAGGTAATACTTTTTAGCATGAAAAATTGGATCGACTAATGCTACATGATTGAATGAGATATAATCGCTATTCAACAAAACATTATTTATTTTTTGTTACAAAATTAACATTTAATTAGTTTCATTTCAGTTATTGTGTGTCAAAGTGTTTGCAATTTTTTTTTTAAATCCTATTAGTTTTGCATAAAAACACCTTTCCCACACATACATACAATCTTATATGTGTATGTATGTGTTGTAAGAGCAACTCCTTTGAGCTGTAATTTCTTATGTGATATATTCGAGGGGGAAAAAAATGTCTTAGCTTAGTTAAGATGATTTATAAATGTGAGTCAAACATTATAAATAGCTTTGTTTCTTATAACTTGATAATACATCATATGTGGGGGTTCTAGCAGAAGTTTTGAGGTGTTATTAAAATTATTACTAAGGATGGTGCTGGTTGACTAGGTCAAAGTTCAAGCAGATGAGAAGAGAGGCATTAGATGCATATGTTTAGGTGAATGTTGATTTTTGGAAGGCATTAACAAAATTTATTATTATTATTATTATTATTATTATTATTATTATTATTATTATTATTATTATTATTATTATTATTATTATTATTATTATTATTATTATTATTATTATTATTATTATTATTATTATTATTATTATTATTATTATTATTATTATTATTATTATTATTATTATTATTATTATTATTATTATTATTATTATTATTATTATTATTATTATTATTATTATTATTATTATTATTATTATTATTATTATTATTATTATTATTATTATTATTATTATTATTATTATTATTATTATTATTATTATTATTATTATTATTATTATTATTATTATTATTATTATTATTATTATTATTATTATTATTATTATTATTATTATTATTATTATTATTATTATTATTATTATTATTATTATTATTATTATTATTATTATTATTATTATTATTATTATTATTATTATTATTATTATTATTATTAATACAACAAATATAATCTTTGAAATAATAAGTTTCCCTCTCATTGTGATGCCCATTTTAAAATCACTTAAAATTTAGAGGGATTTTAACATCTTAAATAACTTCAAAAATTTTCCAAATATGCATTACAATTAAGGGAAATAATTTGGTAAATGGAATTATTGAAATAAAACCAATGTTCTCCCACTGGGGAAATTCTATTGGAGAGGAATAGGAGATGGAGAGACCTGATCTTCAATCTAGGTCACTCTATTTATGGAGGCTTTGATCTACCAAAAAAAGTGTTTGCATAAAAAAAGAAAAAGGGA